CGTTTTTTTTTTATTGGAAAGATGATAAATCTTCGAGAAGTCACTGAAGAAATTGATTTCGTAATACGCGAACTAAGCTGCAAATCATTCGAAATCTTGATAAACGTACTTTTAGAGTTTCTACAAGGAAATTGAATAAATTCAACTGCTCGGTAGTTCTAGCGACGAACGCTGGACGCTTTTCAGTTCGGATGAAATATTTTAAATAGGAGGCGATACCTCAGCGAATGAAATGAGATATTTCGAGCTTGTATTTGAAATATCACGATACCGTAACATTCGGCGAAGTAGATTTATTTATAGTTTAGACTGATCCCTCGTGGACAGAAGATTAATCCAGCGAAGAATATTCCGAAATAGAGCCAAATGTATTTTTAGGTCCCTCCAAATGGAATGTCACTCGCGAACGATAATTTGAAAAGTTATCGGAACGACCGCGGTATTTCGTTTTCGAAATTATACGCGCCGTTTGAAGTCGAATGGCTCGTTCGCTGTGTACTATTTACCGTGCGAAATAATATTGTACCCGACGCTGGTTGAAACAATGCCAAGTATTGTCACGACCGTGAAGGGTCCGGGTTGATCGGGGGAAAAAATGTTGGCCCGTTCGAGGAAAGCTTTTTCTTATCTCTCCTCGTTTGCTCTTCAGAAAATGAAATTGGAGGAGAAGCGAATGAACGAGGAATGGGACCGGTTGATGAATTCGCACGCTATCATCGCGGACACGTACCACCGTGAACTGGAGCGGAAGAGGGCGTAAGTATTTACGCGGAGGACTCGGCTCGCGAAATTATATTTCGAAGTAATACTCTTTCGCAGGGAGACGAATAAGAAGATCGCTGAAGAGAACTTACAGCTAGCCGAGCAACACAAATCCCATCAGGAGTATCTTAACCGAGTTCTGTACAAGAATAAACCAACTGCGGCCTTCTTTGAACAATTTAACAGAGACGCTCGCTAAAAAAAGACGCTTGTCTGATGTAATCGTATTTATAATGGCTTTTGATAATGTACACGTGCAATTAACATAACGTATAAATCATGTTTTATGAATGAACTTCGGATATTTATTGGAGATCCGTGTATTTTTAATGAATCGATGAAAAACTGAAATTAAAATTTTATATTCTTTATTGGACGTTTCTTTGGACCGTCGATAATGCCTAAGTTTGACTTTCACTCGAGTTTTTTTCATTTTAGTCTAGCTCGTGGACATTTTTAGACAAGTTTGTAAGATTTTATAGTTTTTCTGCTTTTGTCTGATTAAATTAGTGTGTTCATGCGGATTGATAAATTCGTTATTTTATAAATGTTCAGTAAATATTTTTCTATCCGATACAAATGTTGTAATTCTGTTTGTTATTAATTAATTTTAATTGTTGCCTATAACGCTGATCGTATCCCCCGCGTTGTACGCGAGTCCATTGTACTCGTAACTCCTTTATGTTTTGCATCAATAGCGACCTCTGTATAAAAAACGTAAAGCTACATGAACCTGTCGATAATAGCAGAATTGTTGATGTTTACGCGTTGGACGTGAACGACGCGTTGCTTGAAATGTGTATCTCGTGGAATATCATATTATAAATTAAGTTAACATTATGTTTACCATAATGCGCCTTCGATCGAGATAGTAGTTTTAAGTGTAAAATTCTAGTAGTGATAAAATGCAGGAAATGCAGGAAGATGAGGTCCTTAAACAAAGGTTAGTTTCAAGGCTACAGAATTACATCCAATTTAATGATTGTATTAAATAAACTTTTGTTTATCAGCTACGAATCGGATATACTACTTAAGGAACATCATGGAATTATGGAGGACCTTAAACGGGATTTACAATTATGCAAGGTAATTTTTTCACAGAAAAATTCTTACGTGTTATTACACATTGTAAATAATGACATGTGTATATCTCTTTAATTTTCAGGTAGAACAGAATAATATAAGAACTGAATTAGAAAGTTTACGAAATGAAAGTCATAAAGTTAATGATATAAAAGAATCTTTAAATCGCATTCATTTGGAAGAATGCAATGACCAAGATTTTCATAAGAAAGAAATAGCAAATTTACAAGAACGCCTTATACTCTTGGAGACTGAGAAAGATTCAGCTTTGCAGCTATGGCATATTTCATTAAATACCATAAGTGCCTTAGAAGAAGAATTGAGAGGCCTTCGTACAAATGGGAAAGATACAAAATTCTATCAAGACCAAGCAAATGCTATTAAGGAAAGTTATTCTGAAGCTATAAAAATGTTAGAAGCAAAACTTACACAGGCCAAGGATAATTTTATAAAACATCAAACATTATATCAAACAAGCAAGGAAAGAGTTGAACATTTAACTAAGGAAAAGGATGATGTAGTAGAGAAATATAGAAATCTACAAAAACAGGCTCTAGAAAAAGGTCAGTAACAAATACTTTATACATTTTGTAACAAATAGAAATGTTATTTTTATGTTTTCAAAGATAGGAATAATCAGGTAACAATAGAAACATTGAAAAGAGAATTAGCTTATGCCAAAGCAGAAACTAGTAAAATAATACAAGCCAAATTGGAATTGGAAAAAAAATTGAATGAGGTTAAAAGGTATGCTGATAATATAGTGGAAAAAGATAAGGAAACAAAGAATAAAATGGCAGAGGCTATTGAGCTAATAGAATCTGCAGTTAGAGAAAAGGATTTAGTTCTTCATCGTGAAGCTCTTGCTTTGGAGGAAAAATCCAGATTAGAACACAGATTAACAGTAATAGCAAGTGAATATGATGCAAAGATACAGCAAATAAATAATAAAACTAAAGATGAAATTGAATCAAATACAAAAAAATATTTGACTGAAATTAAAGAGCTAAAAACAGAATTAAAAGATAAGACTGCACTTTTAGAAAAAACTCAAAGAGAATTGAAATTTACTGAAGAAGAACTAATTAATATACGGCGAGATTCAAATGTAAAGTTACTAGATTATGAACAAAAAGTAAAACGCTTGGAACTTCAATTACAAGTATGTAATGAAACAATGGCGAAAAATAGATATGATGTAGAAATTAAACAGTTAACAGATAAAATTGCTACTCTTGAAAATAATCTAGCTACCTCCAATGAAAAATTACAGAAACTAGAGTGGCAGCATTCCACTAATATAGAAGATCAGATGAAGCAAGCTAGTCGCGATAATAAAGATATACTGAAGCAATATTCAGATTTAGAAAATCAATTGTCTAAAACATTAGGTGATAAAGAAAATCTTGTATCACAATTGAAATCACTGAAGCATGATTTTGATCATGAAATACATAAACGAGATAATGAAAGATATTCTCTCGAAAATAAAATTCGTGAACTAGAAGTTAATCTTCACAAGGCAAATTGTGCAAGAGAAAGTAAAATGAAAGATGCTCTCAATGATGAAATGAATCCCTATCTATACGACATAAAAAATAAGCGAACTGTAGATATAACGTAAGTTAATTTAATTTAATATTTAAAAATGTTAGTATATATAATATTTCTGTTATAGAGTAGAAAATAAATGCCATTGTTGTCAGTCAGTATTATCGGACCATCTAAATAAATTGCAAGAAAAGTTTGAAAGAAAAACAAAAGAATTAATCCATCATGTCCAAGTTCATCAGAAACTGAGTAAAAAGTATTAAACCTTATTTTAATATTAATATTTTAATAGTATTATTTTTGCTGTAATAAAGTAGTTTACATTGATTTATGTTTATAGGTGGAGAGATGAAGCCAAATCACTGACAATAAAATTTCAAGGAAAAGTCAAAGAACTTAGAAGTAAAATTAATGCATTACAAAAAGAAAATAATGAATTAAGCACAGAACTGTTAACTTGCAAGCAACAATTAGCCCAGTATACACTACAAGACATACAAAGGTATCTTCCCATACATTTTAATATCAATGCCTTCTCAAGTGACCATAAATATTTCCTTTCAGATTCAATACAACAAATGAAATTAGGTGACAATATTGTTTTTTACCTAGGAAAATTTTACAATCAAAATTTGATTGTGTAAATACTATAAGAACATATAAATTTATTCCCATTAAAAATACATTTTACATTTTACACTATATATATTTCTTGTATTCTGTTTTAAATACTGCCTATTTATTAATAGCACAGTCAGAATTGTGCTTATTCTTTGGATACAATACAGGCTGTAAATAAACTAGGGAACCAATATAAAGTTTCATCATCACCTTGTTCATCCAACCATGCTAGTCCTTCCTTAACCATGTGGTCCAATGCCTTTTGAGCACGGTCTAGTTCCCATCGTAATTCTTTGTGTAATTTAGACTTAGAAATATTTGCACCTCCAGATAAACTGACTTGCTGCAATACTGCGGTATGGTCCATACTTAGTTCTCCAGGAACAGATTGCACTAAATGTTTACCCCTGCCTATTGGAACAATGGAAAAACCATTACCAAAAATTTTTAACTTTTTAGCTGCAGCCAATAAGTCTTCATTTGTTATATCTTGGTGTTCTTTCCTACGACCTCTCGCTTGAACCAGTCTTGTTCTTAGTTCATCTAATGATATTAATCCACCATTTTTTTCATTCGTGGCCATACAAACTTCAACTATTTGTACTGCAAGTTCATAATAGAAATCTCCTATGCCAAGAACTGACCAGAAACCTTTTCCTGAGGCTAGAGGATCTACACCTATTGATGCACACATTTCAGTAAATTGCCGTCGAAAACGAGCATTCTTTTTAATTTCCGTTTTATGCTTGGTTGCAAATTCCTCTAGGTTAACACGAAATGTTTCCATTTGTTTTGTCATCTGTTCAAACTGATTCTCTTGGATCTCTGTCCCTTTATCTCTATATTTCTCTTGCTCTAGTTTTTGTTTCTGAATTGCACCAACACCTGCCTTTCGTCTCATCGTGCAGTAAATTTGACAATTGAAGACTATAAAATCAATCTTTACACTGACACTTTATTATAATCTTGTTATTCAACTTTCGAGTGATCGAGGGAACTGTCAAGTGTTTTCAAATGTTGGTTACCCTTTTGACAATATAACCTAACAATAATATATTTCCATACTATTTCGATTTTCACACATTTCGTATTATAAGACTAAGATACAATCTTTGCAATAACATAATGTATCTTGTACGAACAAAACGTTCAAATAAATAATTCAAAAATCATATAGTGGGTATAGGTACCTTGTCCGGTGAACTGATCGTCGTGCTTTGATTTGCTTACACGAGATGTCAGTTGGCTTCGTTCAAAATTTAAATATGGCGTCGGCAATGGAAATTGACGATGAAGAAAGTGATTTACCAACTTCAAGTAGTAGTAAAGGAGAGAAAAAGCGTTTTGAAGTCAAAAAGGTAAGATGAAAAACTAAAAGAAATATTCTAGAAATCATGTGCAAATTATATGCATTATAATTAGTTTGTTGATGAACTTCTAACCTTATTCTTGCATTGTCATTTACGCTATACTCACATGGTTTTGAAAAATATGTTTTTCTTCTTTTCAGTGGAATGCTGTAGCACTGTGGGCATGGGGTATGTGTACACAATTATGATTACTTTCATAAATTACTGCATTTATATTGTTACATTATTTACAATGTTCTGTTTATCAATTATTTAATTATTTTTTTACAGATATTGTGGTAGATAATTGTGCTATTTGCCGTAATCATATTATGGATCTGTGTATTGAATGTCAAGCTAATCAGGCATCAGCTACTAGTGAAGAATGTACCGTAGCTTGGGGTGTATGTAATGTAAGTAATTTAAACGTATTTTCTGCTGTAATACATGCTTAGTATTGCAGGGACAATATATTTTAACTTTTTTATTTTAATACTTTCATAATTTTCTTTGCATAGCATGCATTCCATTTCCATTGCATCTCGCGTTGGTTGAAGACTAGACAAGTTTGTCCACTTGATAATCGAGAGTGGGAGTTCCAAAAGTAAGTAAAATTTACACATTCAACAACATAGAGCTGGCTTTTTACAGCTTCTAAAGATGATTTATGTGTTTATAGGAGAAGCACAAAAGATGCTAATGTTGTCACTTGTTTTTGTAGAATATGTCTTAATTCCTTAATCATTCTTTTTTTAGATATGGTCATTAGTGAAGTGCGATCAAATGCCACAAGCAACAGAGCCCTCAAAAATGGTAAAACCAATACAAATTTAATTACATTCAGACGAAAGTTAATAAAAATTCAGTGGTATATGCATGAGCATTGTAAAAGATTCTTGAAAGTGACAGAAAAGAGAAAGGACAAAATAAAAAATCTATAAAATATGAAACATTTAGGATGTTAGTGCATCAACATTATCAAGTTTATAATGCTCTATCTATTAAGTTGGTACAGAAAATACTAAAAGTCCACAAGCTGCTGAACCTTTTTAATTACACCGATTATTGCATTGTATAACATATAGTTTTAAGCGCCCAAATAAAAAGAAACTATAAATTAATTGCCAATCTTCCACTGATATCGACGTACATTTCCTCGTAACGTTATACTTTTCATAATGAAGATCCATGTCTCACCTAAACTTCTCATTCTATAATAACCAGTTGCTATCAGTTCTAAAACATTTTACGGCATTAATTTAAGTTGAAAAGGACCGAGGGAGAAAGGGAAAGATAGAGAAAAGGAGTATCCTACACCGATGCATTTTTCTGCGACCCTTTTTTCTACCGAATCTCCCAATGATCCGCTTACCTGATTTTAAGAAATACCATCCGGTAAAAGTTTTGTCCTTTCTCTTCCTAAGACCAGCGAGCTCCTATAATCTACTCTTCCGATCAGCAATTTTTATTCTTTAAACAGATATCAGTTCCATCGAAATACATAATACAACGTACCCTATTTCTCAATAGGGCGCCTAAATCGATTGCTCTGGAAAATCGAATATTAAACGTACAGGATATTGTGGGTATACACACCTGCGAGCACACCGGCATCAATTCTGAAGATTCGGGTCTCGGGCGAGGCAGACAAGGTTCTTTCCTTCTTTCTTTTTTTTATTTATCCCGAAGCGTTAAGTAAAATCAATCTCGCCGAAGTAGCTGCGGACAGGTTTCCCTAATAATAGCTACTGCGCTGCATCGAGCCCCGCACGGTTTTCCTACCCTCTCACGCTCTTATCATTAATCCGCGCTATTACGGGTGCGTGGATTCTTAACGAGACATAACAGCCGCCGTGAGCCGTGACGTCACGCCGAGGCCAATCGATCGCTTTGAGATCATCTCGAATCCCTTTTCCAGTTCTAGTGTATTCAAGAGATACGGGGCCAATACTTACCAAGCGGCAGAACCCGGAGCCCGACGAGCCGGCTTCTAATCCGGGCATACAGCGAAAATTACATCCTCGCCGAGCGAGCGACATTCGCATGGAAAGATAGAGAGGGAGCAAGCCAGTCTCGTCGGCGAAGGGTGAGGAAAAGGGGGCGGCAGCGAAGTGCATTAGCAAGCCTTTC